AAATATTTGCCACAACTCCTAAATAAAATTTGTTTCTTTTTATAGTGCTTTAAGTTTCTGGTTGTACCCGTTCTGAAGTGACTTCACGTATCAGCAACTTCTGCGATGCTGAATCAGATAAAAATGGTTGCCTCAGATGCAATATATTTCACTATTTATGAGCTACAACTGGAGTATGCAAAACAAAATAAGCAAGTTCAAGTTTGGCTTACCCAGGCCTTTGGGAACAACTCCACTGCGATCCTGAGGATTCACTACCCAATAATAGTATTTAAGGGTGTGCATTATCTGCAACACAGTACCAACCCGTCTTACTGCATTGTAAATGGTGGCTGTACTGATAAACTCAGTGGACAAGTAGGTGTAGAGCTGCAACTGAACCTGGATTGAAGTAAAGAGGAAGAAAAAAAGAAATCACCAGATTTGTACCAATATCCAACAATTAAAATTCTACAATCAAGATCCGAGTAACTGAGTGTTCAGTTGCAAATCAGGAACAAATCTTTTTTGTATTGCAAATCCTTTCAATTAATGTTTTAGAGTTGAAATACCCACAAGGAGTTCACAATGACAAAGACAGTCCCCAGTTCAGGGAAAAATGAGTTTCCAAAGACTGCTGAACTACAAACATCTCTTACTTAGGTCTGGTTTATAAAACTTAAGAAAAAATGTCATCACTGCCATATTTGGACCATGAATTTCTCTTCTCAAAACAGTAACCCACTGAAGGTTATTCTTGTGTAATCTGGGAACTGCTCAGTTCCAACCATTCACTGGCCTCTAATATTTTGATTATCGAAACATTCAAGTCTGCAATTCAGGTTGTCAACACCAATGTTTAGCCAACTTCATCATCATGCATTTAATACTCCATTACAATAAAGCAGGTCAGACAGAAAATTGCAGAATATTTAAACTTAGATTCCAGAAGCTGTTGTCAGAGATGTTCTTGACACAGATGACACATGGTCCTGTTCAGTTGTTGCAGACCAAATGAACTGAAATCAACTGAATGGTATGAACTTGGTTTTCTTGCCTACTAGTGACACACTAAAATTGCCAGAAAACATTCAGACTAGTGTATTCAAGAGCAAATGTATTTTTTATAATGTGTTGATGTGTCAAACAACATCTATGGCTCTCAAAATTCAATTCCACATGTGCATCAAGTCTTGGTTCTCTCAGACGTGAAGTGGTGCTTGCATTTTTGTTTGAAAAAATAAATATTTTAACTTATTTTCTGTCTTCTTTTGTTTCTCTCATAATCCCATCTTTCTTTCTCATTCTTTAGATTGCTCTTTACATTGTTTAAATGGAATCTATGCTCTAGACATTTTTCATTTTTTTGTAGATGCCACAAATGACACATAGACAACATCACACTAGATCAGAGTACAGTACAGCTGTACTCAAAAGAAAGAAAGATTGGGGTCAGCTGTCAACGGGACACAAAATCAGGGATATGATTCTTGATCAAAGGTATATTTGTTGGCAAGATCAAAGTGCTATCGCCTAATTGTAATAAGTTATCAGATGCAAGTTGTGAGGTAAGAAATGTAAAAATTAGCAATAGTGGAAAAATTACAAAATAGGTGAACAAAATGTATCAAGAGAATATTAATAGTTCTCACAATACCCAAGGTTAAAAAGCTTTTACTTAAAGTAAAGGGCTGAAATGACAATGATCAGTGTGCAGATTCTATCGTCAAAGGGGTAAACAAACAGCTATCACCATGTTTTTGCCTATAACAAGTCCTTGATCTCACTTTGAGTTATCAGAAAGAGACAATTTCTTCAGTGGAAGTAAAAGTTTATCAATTGCAGCAAGGGTTTCCATTAGGATGGTTGTTCCTGTTGGACAATTTAGTGTATCAGTTCAAAAGTTGAAAGATCTGAGAACATGTCCTGTCAGTTTTCCTATTCAGAGAAAGTTGTGCACCTAAAAATTCTAAAGAAACAGAAAGTAGTAACTGGAATTTTACACTCAATCTTTTGACAAAATCAGACAGCAGTAGTTTTCATCTTGATAACATGTTCCCTCATGGCTCAGCTCGATGATTCAGTCCTTAACCCATTGTTGAATTAGTAGTTCATATCCATAATGACAAGAAAGACATCACAAATACCCTTGTGCCCAAGTTAGATAGAGGAAAGAAAATCAGGTTATGTGCTCCTTCAGCACTTCCGAAAGGAGTAACTAGACAACGATGCCTTGTGTGTGTTTAGTGAAGAGGATATTATGAGCAGAATAGCCTGCTCTTGCTGAGTTATGGTTAACAACTAGGAAATTAGCTTGTTTCAGAGGCTACCCATAAACTGTTCAGCAGCAAAAGATCAATGCCTAAGAAAATTAGGACTTTAAACATAGGAGCAGAAACGATCTATATTTTCCCTCAAGCTGTTCTGACATCCTGTATGATCATGACTAATGTTGATCTTGACTTCACTTTCCCAGCAGATTCCAATATCCCTGCATTCCCTTCGAATCCAAATCTACTTGCCTCAGTCTCAAATATACCCAACATGTGAGCTCTTATCACATTCCAGGATGCAGAATTCCAGAGATTTACAGCATACCAATCAACAAATTTCTATATATCTCATTCCCAACAGCCAAACCCTGATCTCAACCTGTAGCTCTACTGTTTTTAACCTGGGGAATTAGCTTATTAGAATACATACTGATATACCAAGAACTTTGTATTTCAGTAACAATACCACTCATTCTTCAAAATCCACAGAAGTACTGACCTACTGTACTCAGTTCCTCACCATAAAGCAACTCTCATCCTGTAGGAATCAATCCTGGTTGCACACCTCTCAAAGAAAGTGTAAACTGAAATAACTCCAGAGAGGCTGGTATCCCATCACCAAGTCACCCTTTACTTATATGTGGAAAGTCCTTGACAGTGATCCAGCTCCCTCCGAGCCAGTTCTCAGACAGAGCAGGATGTCTGACACTCCTGTTCTTATCTGTCAGCCAGGGCTCCCTGAATGAACCAGACTGACAGTCCCAATCAGGGAACTTATATCCTATGAGTTCCACCTGACTGACCTCGTTACAATCACTACATAACCCACTTTAGGTTCTGAGATCTAAATTATTCACAGCACTCAGTGTGGTTTTACACTAAAGCTCTGCATACAACTGCAGTAAGGCTCCTTTACCTTTATAATCCAATGCTTTGCATGCCACTTGCCTTCCTTTACGCCTGCTGTAACGTGTTTCATTTACAAGGACACCCAAATCTTTCTAGAATCAAAATTTAACAGTTTATTGCTCAAAAAAGGCATTTTGAAGCTTTTCACCTTACATTCATAAGGGCATTCACAAGAATATCAATGTAACTTAAACTGTATGAGATGAGAGTGTTGATTGTTGGCAACAGAATTCTTATTGGTACAGGCATTGCCATGCAGAATGCACCAGTTAGCTGATGGCTGTCAGTTAATTGCTAAGCTTTAATTTAAACCAAGTGGTTTGATTCTGATTGGTTTACCCTAAGAAAAGAACCGGAGAATGTGACATTGCCTATTTGTTAGATTGTCAATCCATCATCACTCTCTTCTCACATTGTATAAAATGTTATTGCCCTTTGCACTGGTATTCTTGCCAATGTCCTGATGAGCATAAGGTGAAAAGCTTCAATAGATGCATTTTTTGCAACAACAAAAATTTTATGCTACGAAATGACTATTCAATAGCTTCTCTTGCAACTTCTGAAATGAATAACATCATTCCATATTATATCCCAACTCCACCCTCTGGCCCATTCTTAATCTGCCCATGCCCCTTCTCAGACCTTGTGTTCTCACAACTTACTTCCCCACCTAGTTTTGATCTTCCAGCAATTTTAGATACACTGAACATAGAGTACAGATAGCTAAGGCCTCATTCCATATAAAATTGTAACCTTCCAATTCACTGGGACATTTCCAGAACCCAATAAATTTTAGATAATTGTAAATAATGCATTCATTATATCTGTGGCTCTTTTGGAAAACCATGCTAATGGTCATCAAGGTAAAGAGATTTGTTGGCTTTTAGTTGCCTTTATTTCTCTACTTCCTAACCTTTATTCATAGTTAGCAATCAAGTTCAGTCATTAGCTTTTTGGTTTTCTACTATTTATGCTTTGTATTGTCTTCTACTACTTAGACATGAAGAGATATTTCAAACTGATATTTGGAAATGCCTTCCAAATGCCAGTTACTTTCGAGCACATCCAGTGACCTAAGTAGGACAAGTCAAGGGTATGGTGGCAGAGGCACAAGCAGGAAGTTAGAGTTAAGGACATAGTCAGGTCAACCACGATCTTCTTGAATGGTGGAGCAGGCATATGAAGCAGAATAGCCTCAACCTGCTCCAATTTCTATAGTATTATATAAGGTATTGCCCCATAGCCGAACTCCCTTGTCAACTAAAAATGTACCCAATTCAGCAGAGTTTAAAAGCCCAGTTTTCATTTAGTAATGTACTCAATTTAAATTATTATGTACAGTTTAATTTGATTCATTTAGCCAAAATACCAAATGAATCCAGTTCAAATCAAAGACAGAAATTCGAGATTATTTCTGCTACAAACCTGTGGAAGAGGAAGCTGTAACAATTTTAATCCAACCTTGATTTCTCAGATTATAAGCATAGTTAAAATAAAAAAAAACTATTTGCTCTCAACATTTTGAAGCAAATGGATGCATTTGTAAATCATATTCAGCTACACTTCATGTTAAATCTTTGCAGCAGTATATTTGAAATATTTTTAAATTCAAATAGGTTTTCATTCTAAAAATTGAAAAGGTACTCACCTTGGCTGGAGCATGGATCCATACAGCAGGATTCAGAAGAATATGATCACATAATTGTTTCAGTAGAGGGCCTCCATTCTGTAAGTTACTCAGATATTTGGCAAATGCCAAACACAGTTCCAAAACAGCTCCAGTAATATGAACTTTGGAAGACTACAAGAAAAACATGGATTTCAGTTATTAAGCATATTAAAATAATTTAAATAGTGATACATCTGAAAGCATTTGCATTTGGAGTACATCAATTCATTTGAAATTTTTATTCAGTAACCAAAACAATAAGTTAGGTTTTAACTTAAGAAATGAAAAAAATTACTGCTTTCACAGTGGTTGTTTTTTCTTGAGTACAAAAACTACAGTAATTTCTGTAAATGAATGCAATACAGAAGCATTAATTGCTACTTTTAGAAGAGTTACAAATGCTTCAGAAGATGTAGCACAAAAAGCCATGTAAAACCTGTATTTAAACCACAAACATCTTGAAATAATGCACTGTTGCTCATTTTTGAAACAATCTCAGTCATCCAAAGCATTAAAAGGTAACATATAAATTTGTGCAGTATATATTTTATGGATTAAAATTTTAGATTTACAAAATTACATTATCAAAATTATCATTATTTAGAAACATGCCCAGTATAATGCAATGTTTGATCACAAATCAATCAAAATAAATAAATCACAACTAAACAGAACTAGTCTGGCAGTTGACAGAAGGCAGTGCTATCCAATTTATCCAATTGATTCTAAATTCAGATAGGCACAATTGCTGACCACACAAGACTACTGACAAAGGTGTTGACACATGTTTATATCCTCTAGATTGTGCCAGATGTTGAATGCACTTCAATTTTTATCCAGACCACTAGGTGGAGCATTCCTCCAAGCAAACAGTTACAGCTCGATTATGCCTACATGGTTTATAGTAGATAAACTGAGGGCGTGAGCACAGAATGAGTCAATGACGGAGCATTGAAATATTAGTGCTAACTTTGGAATTTTGCGCAGGTGTAAATACATTGCAGCGGGAATTGGTGCTGCTTTTCATAGGTAATAAAGAGACAGATAAGTAAGTGATAATTGTGTGTTAAGATTTTTTCCCTCTAATGTGGCAGTAAGCTTAATCTAGTACTAGAAAGATTATGTATTACATTAAATTTTTGGTTAATTAGTTAAACTACTTAATATAACTACAGAGAACTATTGGATTTTTGACTGGGATGGGGGTGCCGGGGTGGAATTTAAAGATGAAAACGGGCATTGAGTAATTTCTGATTCCATGCAAATAAAACAAATTTCAGCACAACATTGACGATAATCATCTATACATTTCATTATACAATACTACAACAGTAATGAGTATCTACTTCTGTGAAGCCTGCATTTTTAACATTTATTAATAATTCATATTTAGCATCTTATGTGTCCTTTGTTTAGATAAAGTTTATGATGTGTACACTGATCTGCATGTTAAGCGTTTGAACCAAACTGCAGAGACTTTAGCAGAAACTCAATATGATACTGGTGTGAAATCCAATGAGATTGCTGTATTGTTGGAAGCAAGAGCTTTCAGAGCAGACAGAAAACTGAATTAGCATCTGCTCTCTTGGATACAGATAAAAGATTCTATTGCACATTTCAAAGAGGACTAGAGATCACCTGATTCTTACAGACTAGGAACAGAAGTTGGACAGTCTGCTGTCATTCAATAAGATTATGAGTGATCCGTTTGTTCTGAATTCCACATTCCTAGCGACCTGTCAGAACCTTTGATCCCCTTGCCTAACAACAATGTTATTACCAGCAGATTAAAAATATTAATGACCCTGTCTCCATCACCTTTTGAAGCAAACAGTTCCAAATACACAACCCTCAGAAAATATTTCACCCCATCTCTTTCAGAAAAAGCGAAACCTCCAATTTTAAAAGTGTGCCCTAATTCTGGACTCACCCCATAAGAGGAAACATCCTTTCCATGTCCACCTTGTCAAAACCATTCAGAATCCTATAAATTCAATTAAATCACCCTCACTCCTCTAAACTCCAGTCACAACAAGACCAGCCTCTTCAGTATTTCCTCATAGGACAGCCCACTTAATCCAAGTATCATTCTAGCAGACCACTTCTAAACGTACTTCAAAAACTTACTCCATCCTTCCATAAATAAGATGATCAGAATTGTGCACAGTATCCGAGATGTAGTCTCAGCAATGCCCTATATAGCTGAATTATAGGATCCTTACTTTTATGATCAATTTGTCTCATAGTAGGAGAGCTTCCCATCAACCGTCTTAATCACTTTTTGCGAGTCGTGCACGAGAATACCTAGATCTTTCTACAACTTGGAATTCTGCAGTCATTTTCCACTTAAATAATATCCCTTTTGTATTCTTCCTGCCAAAATCAACAACTTCACATTTTCCCATACCATAGACCATTTGCCAGATCTTTACCCACCCACTTAACCTATGTTGATTTGGCCCCTTATGTCATCTTCACAACATGCATTTCAAAATATCTTTGTATGATCAGCAAATTTAGCTATTGTCATCGACATCGTTGATACAAATTGTAAAACATTGAGAGCCCTGCGGGATCCCAGTCAGCACATCCTGTCAATCTGTAAAAAGACATTCATGCCAACTCTGCTTCCTACCAACCAGCTAATCATCGAACCATGCTAGCAATTTAACCATTACACCACTAGCTCCTTTGTGCAATAAGCTTTTATGCGGCATCTCGTCAAATGCCTTCTAGAAATCCAAGTACAGTGCCTCAATGGGCTTCCCTTTATCCACAGCACACATTACTCTTTCAAAGAACTCAAATAAATTGGTTGAACACTATTTTCCTTTCACAAAACCATGCAAAGTCTTTGATTACCTTGTATTTTTCCAGGTGTCCAGTTTTCACATCCCTGACATTCAATTCTAAACTTTCCCCACAGCAGACATCAAGCTTACTCACCCACAGCTTCCTGCCTCACTCCCTTCTTGAATAAAGGGATTATTACTTGTTACTTTCCACTCTGATAGAACCTTTTCTGAATCCACTGAATTTCAGAAAATTACCAATTAATCTACTACCTCATCAGTCAATTATCTGGTCAATTATCTCCTTCTGTTTTTGAGACACTGCTGTCCACAAATTTGCTGCTGCCTGCTTACATTAAAACAATGATGAAAATTCAGAAGTAATTCACTGACAATAAAACACTCAGGGATGTAATTAGAATGTGAATGGTCTACAAAAATACAAGTTTCTTCCTTATTTACACAGGCAAGAGAAAAGTCGAAGAAGCTCATCATTTAACTCACTATACTCATTATTAGAAAATAGTTGAGCATTAGAGAGCCAAGTTTTGAAAGTTACAGATTTAATTTGACCTTTATTCAATTCATCAAATCTTCCTGCTGTCAATAAAGAAATAAGAGAACTTGGATCACCCATATTGTACATTGCTTTTCACCTTAAAAAAAGTTACCCTGCACTTTAAATGGGGAGAATATGCAAAACACTTTCAAAGTTAGACTTCAAAAAGAACAACACTTCGTCTGTTTTCTAAAAATAGTTCTCGCCTGTTCAGTTGGACAATGTACTCAAGATTCAATGCTTTGAGAAGCATACTGTTAAATTCTTTTGTGGTTAATAGGATTAAATCAGTTGTCACGCCTTATTTAAAACCATACACATAATGAATAGGTTGTTGCAATATTTACCTTTTCAAGGCTATACCCAATGACAAGAAAGCCTTTAGAAGAAAGCATTTGCTCTTGCATGGCCACAGAGTTCTTCAGTAATTCCATTATAAAAGCCAACAATGTGGAGCTGAAATAAGAAGTCAGAAAAAGGAGATGAAGTCATTAACATTCCAAATATGCTTGAACCAGGAGAAATTCAGAGTGCAAATTATTTTGGTACTTACAACCTATGTTAGCTCATTTTAAGTAGAACAACAAACCATCTAGACCAAGTGTATTGTAGGAATACACTGTCACATGCAACCAAAGGAAATTCTTGGAGCAGGTGAGCATTCTTTACTCAAGTATAGCAGAGAGGATGAACTTAAGAAAAGTAATGTAACAGAGACAGAGCAGAAAAACAAATTTATGGGGAAACAATACAAGCATTAATAATCGCAGATTAGGAGCTTGAAGGGAAATAGTGAGAAATGATAGCAGATAAAAGCAGAAGAACTAGCAGCAGAGGATCAGTGACAGTGAAGAATGTGAGCTTCGGGTGATTGAGTTTGGAAATCGGAGAAGAAATTCAAAACTGATACCTACTGCATGGAGTGAACAGACTGATGGCTAACAAGGATAGGTTCATTTCTTTCATCAAAATCTTCATGTTTTACTGTTCACAGTCACTAGGTGATAGTTTCTATTGATTTTAGAGTAGATTTGTAGCTCAGGTTGTGGATGTTGTGGTTGGTTGGCTCGCTGAGCTGGTTTGTTGTTTTTCCGCAGACGTTTCATTACCCTGCTGGGTAACATCAGTGCAGCCTTCAATGAAGCACTGTTGTGTCTTCCTGCCTGTTATTTGAATTCTGGAGTCCGTTGAACTGATTACCTCACTTCTGGTTTTCCTTCACAGTGGAGTGTATATGGGGTCAAGTTCTATGTGTTTGGTGATAGCTTTCTTCATGGAGTACCAAGCTTCTAGGAATTCCCATGCTTGTCTCTGCTTTGCTTGTCCCAGTCGAATTGGTGGTTCTCCTTATCCATGTGGATAGAGATGAGTGAGTATTCCACTGCGAAGGAAAACCGGAAGTGAGGTAATGCAGCTCAACGGACTCCAGAGTTCAAATAACAGGCAGGAAAACAGAACAGCGCTTCATCGGAGGCTGCACTGATGATGTTACCCAGCAGGGTAATGAAATGTCTGCGGAAAAACAACGAACCAGCTCGGTGGGCCAACCAACCACAACAGTTTCTATTCAGTTTTAAATTCATACTTATAATTTCCAGTGACTTCAGTTAGCTGCTTACTATTTTGGTATCTCCGTTTTGTAGAGGTTAGTCTCTTAGAATTTGTAGATTATAGGTGCTTCAGTGTCTTAGACATCTTCAACTTCGCAATTGTATGAGTTTAGCGTCAAATGTTTTGCTGATCAGAGTTTCGGTAATTTTGAAGACAGTGAACTGACTATCATAGATGGCTAGCTGAGATCTGTTGCTTGAATATTCTACTGTACATGGAATTTCCAGAATACTTGATGTGCCCTCGATAATCATATATGCAGGAAGTGCTGCCAAATGCTTTAGCTCCAGGTCAAAGCTTCAAAGTTCAAACAGTCAATTCCCCAAGCTAGTGGCATACTGTACTCAATTTTCAGTTCTAAACACAAGAATGCAGTAAAAAGTATCAAACTACTAGCACCAACAAGGTTTGACTATGCACAAGGGAAAATCTTGCGTGGAAATGCAACAGTCACAGAAGATTTGAGAGTCAGGCATGTTAAGAGGTATTTCTGTAAAAACGAACATAATTCCTAGTGCTAAAATAAAGATTATAACAAGATTGCACAGAACACTCTGTAAGGAAAATGTGAATGGCCAGAAGTCGGGACTTTATTTGAACTAATGATACAAGAAGAAAAATATCAAATCCATCAGGTGGAGTTTCACAAGCTAGGTAAAATTAAAATCAGAACTTTAAAGTTGTAATCTCAGGATTACTCCCAGTTCAACGTGCCAGGAAGCACAGAAAATCCCTACCCTTAGCACTATGTGTACCCAATCTACAGAATGGTAAGTTAAGTCATCCCCCAAAATTGCCACTGTATTTTTATTGCTGGTGAAATTTGCTGAAATTTGATCCTACATCACCTTCTTACTATAGGTCTATTTTAAGAAAATGTTACAGCTCTGCCTTGAATCATATTCAGGTGAATGAAGTAGAGCAAGTGGACAACATTGCAGTAGAAAACCACTCCATTAAATGAGCACAACATAATTTGGGTTGAAGTAATTATGGAGACCATGGAGAAGTAAAAAGTTCTACTGGGGAAGAATTAATTTCATTAATTTAGCAAAGGACCTTAGGTAAAGATTAAATGTAAAGTTGCCACAGTCCTACTGCACCACAGGAATGCTCTCTTATTAGAGACAGACAACTCATTATGGATTAACCTGAGGGTCACCACACCTCAGACAAGGGAGAGGTTGAGTCCTTCCATAAAAGGACCCAACACTGGTAGATTAGAAAAACAAATCCAGAGTAAAACAAGAATAAACAGTTACAGGCCCTCAAAGCCTTTCAAGGGTAAAGGCTCAGTACACAGAGCTTGTGCACCCTGGATAACGACAAAAAGGGTAAAGGAAAATAATAAAGAGAAGGCTTTTGATAAATATTAGGAGCAAGATTCATTAAATAACATAACTTATGAAAATTACAAGGAATTTTTTTTCAAAAATGAGATGAATGGAGGTTATCAGAAACAATCAATGAGCAGCAGTAAATTAAACCCCAAAACATTTTATGAGGGAAAACTTCATGTATAAGCAAGAGGTAGATGGCAGAAGTATTAACCGAGTACATGGGAACATAACAGTATAGAATCATCATAGAATCCCTAGTGTGGAAACAGGCCCCTCGGCCCAACAAGTCCACACCGAACCTTAGGGCATCCCACCCAGACTCATCCCCCTATAAACCCACCTAATCTACACATCCCTGAACACAATGCACAATTTAGCATGGCCAATCCACCTAGCCTGCACATCTTTGGACATCTATAGGATCAAAGAAAAACAAAATCAACTTCTACTTTAAATATACATGAAGATTAAGCTTTCAGCAAGCAAAAAAATTCTCACCTGTGTCAGAAATGACATCTCCCTTATTTTAAAAATTTCCCCCTGCTTTTAGACTCCCCAACCAGGAGAAACATCTTACCTTTATCTAGCCTTTATCTAGTTTCGAAAGATTATTAATAAAAGTGGTGTACTTTTGGCATAGTGGTACTAATCGCTGTACTGTTAATCCAGAGACCCAGATAAATGTTCTGAGGACCTGGGTACAAATCCTGTCGCAGCAGATGGAGGAATTTGAATTCAGAAAAACAAATCTGGAATTAAGGGTCTAATGTTGACCGTGAATCAATTGCCAATTGTTGGAAAAACCCATCTGGTTCACTAATGTCCTTTAGGGAAGGAAACTGCCATTCTTACCTGGTCTGGCCTACATGTGACTGCAGACCCACAGCAATATGGTTGACTCTTAACCGCCCTCTGGGCAATTAGGGATGGGCAATAAATACTGCCTAGCCAGCAACACCCTCATCCCGTGAATCAATAAAGGTAAAGGTTTAGCATTACTTAAAGCGGCTAAGTTACATACAATCACGAAATATGTTACAAACCTCTTGGGAACGTGCACTGATTGTCAAGCCCCAGTACTCCTGGAGTCACTACAAAAGGTACTGAGTTAATCAAAGTGTGCAAAATCCCCAATTTACCTGCCTAATAATCGAGTTGGCAGAAAACACTGATGTTGCTGTACTTACCAAAAAAAGAGAGAGAGGGGGAGGAGGGGCTGGAAGACAGGATGTGGGGGGGAGAGGGGAAGACAGTGGGGGGGGGGGGGGGGGGGAAGAAAGGGGGGGGGGGGGGGGGGGGGGCGAGGGGGGGGGGGGCAGGGGGGGCAAAATAAAGAGCACGAGATAGAGGGAGAGTGAAATAAAGAGCGCGAGAGAGAGAGCGCGAAATAAAGAGCGCGAGAGAGAGAGAGAGAGAAAGAAATAAAGAGCGCGAGAGAGAGACAGCGAAATAAAGAGCGCGAGAGAGAGCGCGAAATAAAGAGGGCGAGAGAGAGCGCAAGCGAGAGCGCGTGCGGGCGACAGAGACAGACCAAGTGACAGACAGCGAAATAAAAAGAGAGCGAGAGAGAGAGAGCGAGCGAGCGACAGCGAAATAAAGAGAGCAACAGAGAGGGAGAGTGAAATAAAGACAGCGAGCGAGAGAGAGAGCGAAAGAGCAACAGTGAA